CCCACATACACACACATACTATCCCCACACACACCCACACACACTCTATTCCCCCCCACACACACACTATCCCCTCCCACCCACACACACACACTATTCCCCTCACGTTATAATCAAACTCGATGCTGGAGGCCTGAGCCTGCACCATGCTCCAGACGCCCCACAGGAAGTGCGAGTGCAGCGACAGTGTGTTCGTCTCCATGTAGATCTTGGCCAGCGTGGCCTCGCTCACGTCTGTCTGACCCTGGGCCTTCAGGTATGACCGGAAAAAGTAGTACTGCAACGAGAAAAAAGTAGTGCCGCAATGAGAGACAATGAGAGAAAATAGTAGTCCTGCAACGAGAGAAAAAAGTAGTGCTGCAACGAGAGACAACTAGAGAAAAAAGTGGTACTGCAACGACAGACGAGAGAAAAAAGTAGTACTGCAACGACAGACAACGCAGAAAAAGTAGTACTGCAACGAGAGAAAAAGTAGTACTGCAACAAGAGACAACGAGAGAAAAAAGTAGTACCGCAATGACAGACGAGAGAAAAAAGTAGTACTGCAACGAGAGACAACGAGGGAAAAAGTAGAACCGCAACAAGAGACGAGAGAAAAAAGTAGTACCGCAACGACAGACGAGAGAAAAAAGTAGTACTGCAACGAGAGACAATGAGAGAAAAAGTAGTACTGCAGTGAGAGACAATGTAAGAAAAAAGTAGTACTGCAACGAGAGAAAAAGTAGTACTGCAACAAGAGACAACGATAGAAAAAAGTAGTACTGCAACAACAGACAACGATAGAAAAAAGTAGTACAGCAATGAGAGACAAAGAGAGAAAAAAGTAGTACTGCAACAAGAGACGAGAGAAAAAAGTAGTACTGCAACGAGAGACAACGAGAGAAAAAAGTAGTACTGCAACGAGAGACAACGCAGAAAAAGTAGTACTGCAACGAGAGACAAGAGGGGAACAGTAGTACTGCAACGAAAGACAATGAGAGAAAAAGTAGTACTGCAACGAGACTTTAAAAAAAAAGTATTTTATGGCACTTGCAAAACAGTAATAAAGTCATATAAGTGCTGAAGTTTTCAGTTTTAGTTAGAGTTTTACAGCACTTGCAACACAATAAGGTCATATAAGTGCCGAAGATTAGAGGTGTTACAAGAGAGTAACAAACACAAAATAGAAGGAGGAGATTTTTAGTTTTAGTAAGTTAAGAGTTTTACGGCACTTTCAACACAATAAGGTCATATAAGTGCCGAGGAGTAAAAAAAATAAAAAAGAAGGAGGGGAGATAGAGACAATAGATCTTTTATAGGAAAGGAGGGGGGAAAAAAGGCACATCGAAGTAAAGATAAGACAAATAACATTTTACTTGACTTCCACAAAGAGAAATTTGCTGCAGCATGGTTGTTGTTGTTGTTGTTTTCAAATCCCTTTAGCTGCGAGCATTTCGCTCTTGGCAGTGCAATGCCTCCCTCAAGTAACCACATGTTCTTGTCATCTG